TATTACATTATTATTGACTATATTCCTTATACTGTACTTCACAGCCCAGAGACTATTTTGTAACTACCAGTTTGTACTTCTTAATCCCTTCGCCATTTTCATCCAGCCTTCCCAACCCCCTCCCATCTAGCAACTATCCATTTGTTCTCTGTATCTATGAGTCTGTTTCTGCTTTGTTCGTTAATTAATTTTGTTCTTCAGAGTCCATATATAAATGAGACCACGTGGTATTTGTCTTTCTCTGTTTGACTTATTTCACTTAGCATAATACCTTCTAGGTCCATCTATGTTTTTGCAAATGGTAAGATTTCATTTTTTTATGGCTGAGTAATATTCCACTGTATATATGTACCACATCTTCTTTATCCAATCGCCTATCAGTTGCTTCCATACCTTGGCTACTGTAAACACTGCTGCAGTGAACATAAACCATCAACAAAATGAAAAGACAACCTACTGAATGGGAGAAGGTATTCACCAATGATCCATCTGATAAGGAGTTAATATCCAAAATTGATTTTAAAAACTCATACAACTCAACACCAAAACAAACCAAACAATCCAATTAATGGGCAGAGGACTTGAATAGACATTTCTCCAAAGAGAACATACAGATGGCCAATAGACATATAAAAAGATGCTCAACGTCACTAATCATCAGGGAAATGTGAATTAAAACCACCATGAGATATCACCTTACACCTGTCAGAATAGCTATCATCAATAAATCAACAAACAAGTGCTGGTGAGGATGTGGAGGAACAGGAACCTTCCTGCACTGTGCAAAATGGTGCAGCCACTATGAAAAACAGTACAGAGAACTACCTTAAAAATAGAACTACCTTATGAACCAGCAATTCCACTGCTGAATATCAATCCCTAGAAATCTAAAATACTAATTCAATAGATATATGTATCCCTATGTTCATCAAATACAATTTAGAAAGCTCAAGAGGAGAAAAAACTCTATTGTATTTAGCCATAATTTTTATTGAGTTCTTCCTTCACAGTGTCTCATGAGTCCTTTTTTCTATTTGCTTTGTTTTGTTTTGTTTCTGTTTAGAGAACTTCCTTGCACCATTCTTTTAAGGTAGGGCTGCTAGTGACAAATTCTCTTAGCTTTCCTTCATCTGACATCTTGATTTCCATTTCATTCCTAAAGGATAATTTCACTAGATATAGAATTCTGGCTAGACAGTACTTTCCTTTCAGCACTTGAAAAATGATGTGCCCATTCCTTCTGGCCTCTATAGTTTCTAATGAGAAACCCACTGTTATTCAAGTTGTTTTCACATGTTAACACATTCTCTCTCACTGTTTTCAAATTTTTTTCTTTTCCTTTAATTTCCAAAGTTTGACTATTATGTTTTTTAGTACAGATTCCTTCAGGTTTCTTTGGTTTGGGGTTCACTCAGCTTCCAGGACTTTAATGACATAAAGATCTTTTCTTATAGTCCAGGTTCCTGAGGCTCTACTCATTTTTTTTTTCTGTCTCTCTGTTAGTCAGATTAAGTTGTATTGTTCCATCTTCAGTTTCACTGATTCTTTCCTCTGTCCTCTCCATTCAGCTGTTGAACCATCTATTGAGTTTTTATTTCAGTTGTTGTTTTATATCTTCTGTTTATTTCCTAAAACTTTCTATTTCTCTGCTGACACTATTTTTTCATTGTTTCAAGTGTGCTCATAATTGCTCACTGAAGTATTTTTTGAGAACTACTTTAACATCTTTGTCACATAATTCTAACATCTCTGTCATCTCAATGTTAGCATCTATTAATTGTCTTTTTTCTTTCGAATCAAGATGTTCCTAGTTCTTAGTATGTCAAGTGATTTTGCATTGAAACCTGAACATTTTGCGTATTAGACAACGAGAGTCTGGATCTTATTTAAACTTTGTTTTAGCTGGCTTCCTCAGACACTGCTCTAGTAGGGGCAGTCGGGGAGGGCAGGAGCTGCCTCCTTACTGTCAGGTAGAGGCAGTAGTCCAGGTTCCCAACTTAGGCTCTGCTGGCACTGGAGGTGTGGGCCTCCTTGTATAGTTGGTGGGAGTAGGGGTTCTGGCTCCCATTAGGCCTCGATTGACACCATTCTAGTTGGGAGGAATAGGAGTGTCTCGGTATTGTTCCCCACATGGCCTTCAGGGACACAAAGGGAGAGAGGGTGTGTAGCATCTTTATTGTCAGGTCCTTCTCTCCAACTTTTGGAGTCTTCTAATGTTTGTCTTATATATAATGTCCAGGGTTAGTATTTAATTGTACTTAGCAGAAGGAATATGGAAAAGTACATCTATTTCATCTTCCCTAAAGTAAAAACAGAATAAGTTTTATGAAATAATATTTTCTTACAAACTACACATTATTTGTTCATAAGAGACCTTGAAACATGAATTCCCTCTTACCTAAGTCACGTTGAGCCATTTTTTTACCATTTTTTTTTTTTTGGTTGTATGACCAAAAACAATTACACATGAAATAAGCAAGGATGGGCTGGCTCCTTTATCTTCAATTAGCATCCAGAAGGTAGTCTCTGAACTCCAGTCTCATATAAGCAGACTCTATTTTGTGAGTGATAATATTGAATTCCTCAGAACAATAAACATAGGACCTTACAAGATTTCTAACATTCTTGCTATAGTGTATGCATATTGTTTAGGCCAGTGGTTCTCAACTGGGTGGGGGGATGGAGGCAGCAATTTTGCCCTTCTCCCTAGGGTCTCATTTGGCAACATCTAGAGATATTTTACTGTCATGACTTCTGGCGTAGAGGGGAGTAGAGGATTGTGCTACTGGGATCTAGTGGGTAGAGGCCAGGAATAATTCTAAACATTCTACAGTTCACAGGACAGCCACCCACAATGAAGAATTATCCAACCCAAAAATGTCAATAGGGCCAAGGTTGGGAAACCCTGGTTTAGCATGTTTGACCTACATTTATTTGATAGCTAAATTTCATCTTCAAGTATTCTGAGCATCTATTGGCCTATGTAATTATTTATGGAACTCTGAATGCTAGGTCTGCAGTGGCCTTACTCAAGCTCTAAAAAGAGACAACACATCCTGCAGGGGTTGTCTTATCTTTTTCCTTTCCCTCTAGAGACTGCAGTACAGCTCTAAGTTAAGATGTCTCAAGTGAAGAACCATATTTCTTGCTTATCCTGGAGAGAACGTTGTTTATATAAACTCCAAATGTTTAAAACAAATATCCTTATTCTAATCTTAAGAACTTTTTAAATCACAATTTAGACCACTTTTACACTTGCATTTTTATTGCTATCTCTCGCCTACCCAGCCAGAGCCATTTCAACCACTTCTCCATTGTTACCTTTTCGCCCTAATAAAACCTTCTGAAACCACTTTTATCCAAAATTATGCAAAGCTCCATCTTCTGGAATTGTTGGGGCAGGGGAAAGAAAAAATTTTAAAGCGAGAATTAAATCTAGGCTACACTAAAAATCAATTTATAATGGAAGGTAGGGATGGGACTAAGGCATTTGATAGTGGTCAAGTCTTGTAACACAGGGCTTGTGCCCCTGGTTCCTGACTACTGCTCCAGTCCACTCTCCTACATAAAACAATGCAGGTAACTGAAACACAAAAATATATATATATACAAGAGAAAAGGAATAGCATAAAGAACAGAATTCACTGTCCAGTGTTCATCTGCCGCTTGATATTCTCTCTTCTTATATTCTATCCTATTTGAATCCCTCAAAATATGCTCTCTATCATGGACCTTTGCTCTGAAAGTGTAATTTTCTCCACCTACACAGGACCTCCAAGCCAGTTTCTAATACAGGCCCCTCTTCATATCAAGTACCTTGACTATGTCATAGAGTTCCTTATCACAGGAGCAGGCATCAAGGCCTTTGTTCTCTCTGTTAAGGCTCTTCAATGCGCATACTTGATTTTTTTCTATTAGACCCACAGAACTCTAATTAGAAATACCTATTTTGAAACGGATGAAGCAGTCACACTAATCTTGCTCAGCAACTGTGGGGAGGTGTGGGTTTTAATAGAAAACATTTGTCCTACCTTGTTGACAAACATTAGGTCAAAGATGACACTGGGGACTCTTGTCCTTACATGTTTTTGTTTCCCTAATGGGCTTTATGATCACATTCCTTAAATCACAGTCAAGAGTATATTCCGGGGCTGAAACTATTTTAAAGATTAACAAGAGGTTTGGCACTGCAACTAAGAACAGCGGAATCTTCTCTCTTACTATCATTGTTATTGCCATTCTCAAAAAAAGACTGTTTCTTTTTTTCTCTTTTTCTCCCCCATCCCACCCCGCACTTTCTGCGTAGGACTCAGATTCCCTTATTATTTTTGTTTTGAATGTCCCTACCAGAGCAAAGTTTATATCATGGGCACAGTATCTTAAACTATTACCCCATCTAGCTTTGCTCCCTGCCAGGGACAAATGACAATCAACAAATGCGTGGTCCTGGCACGATTCTAGTCTAGTCTCTGGGTTGTAATTGCCTGGGGTAGAATCCCAGCTAAGCCAAGCACTAGGAAGCCTCCTATGTAAAATGGGGCTCTTAACAGTATCCACCTGATGGGGTGTTGTTGGGACAAAAATGTACATAAACTGTGTCCTGTGGCGCTTGGCACACAAGAATCACTTATAATCCCTATAATTGGGAAGGCCTAGAAGTAAATTTTCTAAAAATATTTTGAGGATTGTTTTTATAAAAAAACATTACAGAACTCATAAATTCAACTTTTTAATGGTAATTCATTGATCGTCTTAGGATATAAATTCACTAATAATGCTAAGCTGTAGCAGAAAAAGACTTTTTCATAGGAAACATCTGTTACTTCAATACTAAATAATCACAAAGGCTTTGAAAGGAAAGGTTACTAGTGAGGTATTACTAGTTTTTAAAAATAACCTCTCAACTGCTTCCCCTTTGAAAAGAGGATACCCTTCCTTGATGGAAAATTCAAAATTCAAAGAACTTGAATAACACCCCAGTGTTTTTTCTAGCTTATAACACTCCGTATGCACTGAAATATTTCATGTATGTACACTAATGTTGCAGTTACCCAGGAGAACTGTAACTCTCCTGGTTCACCTACTTCCATCTTAATGTCGTAGTTCTGGCCGAGGACACTCTGTATGAGCTCTTTTATAGTCTGGTCGGAGGCCAGCTGGGCCTCGGACTGCAGCGAGGCGATGATCTCCTCGATGGACTTCGGGATCATTCGCACAGGCGGCGAGGCCTGCCAGGCGGCCTCGCGCCCGTCGCTCGGCTGGACCATCTCCCGGTCGGCTTTGGAAAACGACCCCATTTCCCGAGGCTCGCTGGCCGCGCCCTCCCGCAGAAAGTGGGTGCGAATCCTCACTCTCCTCCGCAGGAGGGCCGCCTCCGCTTCGCCGTCTTCGCTGGAGACGGAGCTGCCCTTCCCCTCCCTGGCCTTGAGGGTCTCTGCGGGCCGAGTCGGCTCCGGCTGCGCGTCGCGGCCGCGGGCCGGGGCCGGGGCCGGTTCGAGGGCGCGCTTGAGGCCCAGGGGTCGCGGGCTCCACCGACCCCAGAGCGCCCCGGGCTTCTCCCTCGGTGCAGGCGGCGGCCTCAGGACCACGGGTCTGGACGTGCCTGCCCTGGTGGCAATGACGGGCGGCTTCTTGTGGGGCCGGTGCCGGAGGAACGCGGAGCTCCTCAAGTAGAAGTCCTGGGGGCGGAACGGCCGCGTCTTCCCGGGAGCGGCCCCCTCTCTCGGGCCCGAGGAGCGCGTTGCGACTTGGGGCGCCTGCTGCAGCAGGCCCGCAGCGGCGGTCGCAGGGCCTATAGCCCGAGGGGTCCCTGATGGCGTCTGGGGTCCAGCGCAGGAAACGTCTCGGTCCTCCCCAGGCCCGGCAGGGCCAGGGGCCTGCAGTCGGAAGACTGGGACTTCATCTACAGCCGGCTTGGAGGCCAACTTCTGCTTGAATAGGAGAAAATCCTTTTTAGTCTCCCGGCGAACCTTCTCAAGTTCTTTAAAGATGTACAATTCTTCTTTGTATTTCAGTCCAAAGTGCTTCGAACTCGTGGACATTTTGACTAATTTGTCCTGTGGGGGAGGGAGGGAAAAAAACAAAAATATACTAATATGTATGTCCCAAAACGTGTGGAGAAAATTCCAACTCAAAAAGGCTTCTCATGGTAGAACGCTCACTGTGCTCTCTGAGTCACGAGTGGATAGTATTAGCTTAGATCATTTAAAACCAACTACTGACCTTTTCACAAGAACCATGAAAAACCTTTAAAACCTTCTGTAAAACTTTTTTCATGGTGGGCGTTTACGAAACCCCTATTGGATTTATTTTAACCTTTCTTTTGACTATAATTTAGCATCCTGCTTCCAGGCAACAGAGACCATAGTATGCACAGGCACAGAAAAGCTAAAGTAATCCTGGCAGAACAGCACTTTTCACTTCCTTCTCCAGCTAAGCCAAGGTGTCTCCATCCCTTATCCAACACATTCTCTCGATGAGTCATCTTAGCTACATCTGAGTGGTATGAAAGAAGATGGGTGATTAGCTGCAGGGTAGTAAAATCATGAGGTCTGTATGACAAGTGTTAGTACTTTTTCTGTGGGCTACTAGAAACCATTCAAAAACTTTTAACAGAGAAGTGGCTTAATAAGATCTGGTGCTTGGGGGATATTAATATTGAGGGAGAGAAAGAATAAAGGAAAGGAAGGCAAATAAGAGTATCCATAGCCTGAGCCTTAGGCCTGGCCTTGGTAACCCAGCAGAGTGAAAATAGAAACATAGCAAGGTAAAACTGACAGGATCTAGTCAATGATTAGGAATAAAAGAAAGCGATTAAAGCACCTTCATAAAACAGGAACATTGAATCACCTTCATAAAGTCTTGGTCATAACCAAGTGCATAATAAAGCTTCTACTATTCACTGAACTGTACACTTAAAAATGGTTTAATGGTAAATTTTATGTGTATTATCACAATTAAAAAAAAAAAAACCTTCTGCTATTCAGCAGGGCCAGTGATCTATGGTAATTAAAGGATTTTGAGATTTGAGAGCTCTGAAGTCCCTACCAAAAGCCAGGACAGGAAATATAAGTAGACAAGGGCCAATGACAGATTCTTTGGCATCCTCATCTGTGGGAGGTAGGATGCGCAAGAGCAACAGAGAGTCAGGAAAATGAGAAGAGAGTTCCACAGAAGCCAGGAGGAGGAAAGTTTCAAGAATAAGGGTAAAACAAAATGAAAGCAAAAAATAATGAATTAGAAAAACTAATTTATTTTTTAGAAAACCCAACACCAAAGTTCTTTGAAAATAAAATAATAAAGCAAGACACCTGGGGAATATCATCATTGAGGAATATCATATCTTTGCAAGTATGATTATCTACCTAGAAAACCTAAACACTAAAAACTATTTAGAATTATAACAATTATAACAACTTAAAATTGTATAAATTTTAAAAATTTATACAAAAAACAATAAATTCCTTTATCTCAAAATGACCCATAAAAAGTATAATGGTAAAATTCCATCATGTAAAATTTATAATTTAAGAGTATCTTAGAATAAGCATAACCAAAAAGAGTACTGAAATTGCATAAATAAATTTTTTAAATATTACTGAAGAACATAGAAGACTCGACTAAATAGAGACAGTTAATGTTCCTTGGTGAGAAGACCAAATATTTTAATTTTATCACATCTTCCCAAAATACAGTATTGGTTTAATGCCATCATAATCAAAATCTAAAAATGTTATTTTGAACTTTGAAAAGTAATTCTGAATTCATTTGAAATAATAAACAGGGTAGATTAGCCAAAATGTTGTAAAAAGGAAAAGAGGGAGCACTTGTCTCACGAAATGATTAAAAATTATATAGATATGAAAATTAAAACTGAAACACTGCTGGTAGAATCAACATATAGACTGAGTGAGCAAAAGAATTAAGAATAATATGGCCTATATTATAAAGATGGCATTAAATTGTTGATAAAATCAGAACTATTAATAAGTTGTGCTGAGGCAAATGGCGGGGATGGGGAGGAATTACACTTCAATTTATGCCATGCTCCAAAATACAATGGATTTAAGACTTTAATGTAGAAAATAGTTTTTTTTATTATACTGCATCCCTTTGCTTACCACCTATGCACATTTCTCGGTTGAATTTCTTTATATAAACTCATAAAAGAATTATTCTTACAATTAGATAGATTTCATTTATCATGTAGTATGTGCAATATGAAGAAAACATTCTATTTAGCCTTTAGACAGGTCATATTACTTTTAATCCCCAAAACACCCCCCGCTAGTTCTCGAACCCAAGACCCCATGCATGATAGAGTTCTCATCTGGAAATCGGCAGGCTTTGTTTCTCTGCACAGCTCCACCAATGACCTGACCTTAGACAAGTCAATTCCATCTGTAACAAGATTTCATATTAAAAAGTGCAAGATTGCATATCAGAAAGTGAAAATAATAATCTTTTGCCTCTTTTCCAGGCCATAGTATATGAACATTAGAAATTATTTCTAAAGGCTGTAAGGAAGTTTCCTTATTTAAAAATGCTATGTAATCCTGCTCATCATGATTTGGCTGTTATTGTTTGCACAGGTGGTAATATGTTCATACTGACACCATCTGCATTTCTTCCTACAAAAGACTAAAAGATAGAACCTGGAACAGAGCACAGACCAGAAACACATTAATACCTGATGAGAATCTGACTTGACTCTCCCAAGAGCACTTCCCTTTTGTTTCTTAGTTCCTGCTTTGTATTCCCTTCCCAACTTCTCCCAGGCCCTTAGTTTGCTATTGAAGTTTAACAAATGTTCATTGTTTAACACTTCTCCCTTGAGTTCTTCATAGGAAAGTTGCTTTTTATATGTAAAAATAAACCAATAGGAAATAGAATTTATAAGTCTGACAAGAACTTCTATTGTGTTTTCAAAGCAGTGGTATTCCAATGCTAAATGGGCCAATCCATCAAATCTTGGTGCCTTTATTGCCCTTGCCCACCCCTCAACACTGCTAAATATGTAAAATAATTTTTAAACATCCACTCTCATAAAAAAATAACATGTTTTGTTTTTCTTGGTAGTAATTTATTAAAAGAAAGACACTAGTTCTGGTTTGGAGATACTCAAGGAAAAATAATGTAGCCATCCTAAAAGGAGAAAGTATTAATCTACGTAAGGTGTCAGAGCCTGCTGTTCGCAACCCAGGTTGATTAAGTTTACCCTACACTTTGAAATGGGACAGAATGTGCTGGAAATCTTTGCAACTTGAGCAGTAATTTCATTCTCCTCTACCTTCCTAATTACTGGAACTCTGTGCCTTTACCATCCTGCTCTACGAAGAGGTTCAATGCCTAAGCCATGAGGTAGTCAGAAAAGCCAAGAGCCAAGCTTCTCTCCTATCCCACAGATCTGGTCAGATATAAAGAGGAAGCTCCCTGGCCAAAAATGGCTAAATGCCCAGGGAAGACTACCTGTGTTAATGCTTCAGACTCTGGAACAGGTTGCTCTCTGGTTCTTGCAGTTGTGGTTGCTCTTCTTGTTGGAACAGAAGATCCAAAACTCTGCTCTAGATTCTAACTAAAGTAGAAACAAATAGAGCAGACCACCAGATGACTTGGTTCCAAGCTACATGAATACTTCACACAGGGGTATGAGTTCATACAGTAGGCCTAGTTTACATAGTAATATGCTGGGAATGGATTATCAGAGTACTACATTGGGAATGGAGCCAAGCCCCATGTGGTTATATGAATTACCTGGCCTTGACCTCCTCTGTGTGGTCATGGGCACCTCCATGGGGAGGGTAACCGATTAAGAACAAGATTTAGATTCTCTTAGGTCCATGGCTTAATATCATCTCAATTCACTTCCTGAACTTCACACAACTTCCAAAGCACAGCACTAAAATTCAAAAAGAAGTGTCTAAGCCCAAGGATAATCCATCTCATCTAGTAAAATCATCAACATTACAAAAATATATATATATTCTGAAAACAATATTTGTTTTTGAAATATCAATGAGATGTTTATGCACTGATTATAATTTATTTTTTTAAAGTCTAAAAAGAAATATAAAAACATTTTAGCAATTTTGCTAAGAAAATGGGATAACAGTAACATTTTCTATATGTTTCCAGACTTTCTATAATACCGGTTTTGCCACCTTCAATCCTTCCTAATAATATCAATGATACTAATACCAATAATAGTAAATAATGCATATTGTGCTGGTTAAAAATGACATAGAAAATAGAGAAAAGTTGTTTTCAAGCTCAGAAAAAAAAAAATTCTAAACTATTCAGAAGCCCACAAAAATCTTAATGAAAGCCCTTTATCATTCTGGCCATAAGAATCAGAGAAAAGTGCCAGGCAACAATCACCACTGAGGAGTGAGAAAAAAACCCTAGAGGGGAGAGAGCCAAAGAAAGTAATTCCCTAGTTCTGTGCCTAAACCCCACACAAGCCTAGACTGACCTCTGAACCATGTACACATGGAGCAAACTCAAAGCAATACAGCAAAAGCTTAAAGAGCTGAACTGAGATTTAGCTGAATGTAACCTCCAATCATAGAGTAAGATAAAGCTTACAGTGAATCTAATCTAGTGAACAGCCAGCTAAATGAAAAATATCAACATTCTTCACAGGAGTATAACAGAACCCAGAGTCTACACAACAAAACATTCATGATGTCCAGGATATAACAGAAAAATACTAGGCATAAAGTGATCCAGGAAAATCTGATCATTCTCAAGGGCAAAGAAAATGGATTCCAGTCCAGAGATGACCCAGATGTTGAAATTATTAAACAAGGACTTTAAGGCAGCTATTATAATGATGCTCAATGAAGTAAAAGAAAATATACTAAAGATAACTAAAAAGAATATCTTGTGTATGGCCATGCCACCCTGAACACGCCCAATCTCATCTGATCTCGGAAGCTAAGCAGGGTCAGGGCAAGTTAGTACTTGGATGGGATACCACCTAGCAGGACCAGGTGCTGTAGGCATAAAAAAAAAATTAAAAAATTAAAAAAAGGAAAATCTTAACAGAAAAATAAAAATATAGAATTTTTATATCTAAAAAGTATGATATTTTCAGTAAAAATCTGACTAGCGGAATGGAGATGTCAGTAAACTAAAAGATAAATCAACAGAAATTATCCAATATTTAAAAGAGAGAAAGCTTAAAAACAAAACAGCCTCAGAGTCCTGTAAGACAGTATTAAAAGTTCTAACATATGGGTAATCAATATCCCAAAAGGATAAGGGAGAATGGGCTG